CGGGTCCGGGACTTGAACCGCGGTGGGCTATGTGGGAGTCCAGCAACATAGCCATTATGCTAATTGCTGGCCCCACGCCCAGCTTATTTTTAAAAGAATTACTTATTAAATTTTACTTATCATGATAATTACTTTTTAATTTGCTATAGGGCACACATGCTCACCAGAGAGAGAGATGAAAAGTGAGAAAGCAAGCCACCAGGTCTGGGAATAGAACCGCTGTCAACCATCTAGAAGTCCAGTGCCTTAAGCACCATGCCACCTGCTGGCCCAATACGACCAGCTTCTTAAAAGCTGTGGTGTAGCAATGGGCAACCCACCCTGCATCTTGTTCTAAAAAGTAGAAGAATCAGTTGCAAATAAGTTTAGAAATTCCTTGAAATATCTAGCTTGATTATCTAGCTCATGTCTATTTTTACACACTTATTGTTCAAAAATGCACTAACCACTGAACAGCCCATCGTTAACTTACAAATCTCACGAGCTCACGAACACTCAGATGTAGAGGTACATTAGCCTCAGGTAATTGTCAGTATCAATCAATATAAAGAGCCTAGGGAAAAAGTCATTCATTCAAGCCTCTTAATCACTAAAAGTCTGCAGGGTCTGAAGAAAAACTCCTTTTTCTTCTTGCATTGGGAATGTAAAAAAGTAGCAATTGCATACTGTCTTTGTTTTGTGAGCTCCCAGCAGCAACCCCAAATCTCTGGGCAATTAGCTGGCCAGACCTTTCCAGTGATACTGACAGTCATGGAGCCGGTCTTAACAGAAACCTTCCTAAGGCAAATCAAGAAAACGTCCTGTAGCCAGACCTGGCAGTTTCCAAGGCTGGTAAGACCATTTCTTAGCCTCAAGGAGTGGGGGCCCGGGAAGGTATAATTCCATGCCTCAGAAACTTGAGTTTGTCTGTCCCTGCCTTTCTTTTGCTGGTTCTCTGATTGCACATCAAAATGCAACTCCAACCAGCCTGGTCGCCCAGGGCCTCCCAGGTCTGAGGCGTGCACACCCGGCGAGGAGCTGGGTTTGTCCAGGCCTGCTGCTAGTTCAAGACCCGGCGCAGCAGGGTGGCAAGATGCCTAGCCTGGGAGACCAGCTGGGACGCGAAGCCCTCCTCAGGGCAAAGCCTCAATCCGGGCGCCCAGGACTGAATTCCTTTCTGGAGTCTGGGCCACAGAGCTGTCCCCAAAAGTTAAATAAGGCAAAAGGGCGGGAAGCCCCCAGCTCCAGAGCGGGCCTAGAGGTCTGGGCTCCAGGATTCGAAGCACGCATCATCCTAGAATCGCCGGGCTCACTGCTCACAGAATCTACTCTTGCAGTCTCTACCCGGCCGCCGCTAACGCCGCAGCTGCGGGGCGTCGCAGCTGCGGGTCGTGGGGTGGGGAGCGGGGCGTGCCCCTCGCCCCAGTTAACAAAGCCGCCGCAGGGACTGCGAAGACAGAGTTGAGGGCCACAAGTCACCAGTTAGCCGGGAAGACGCACCTACTGCGGGCCAGCACCGCACCCGGACGACTAAGGCTCCAAGTTAGGCGCAAACTTTCCTTGAAAGGCGCCAGGATGGGGTGAACCATTCCCCCAAAAGAAGGGAGGACAGGCTTGGGGAGGTGCAAAGGCGCAGGGCCCTGGCTAGGCTCGGATCCTAGGGACCCCTCCTCCCCTCACCAGCTGCCAGGGAATGAGGTCATCTCCCCCTCCCAACCCCCACCCCCAAATCTCCGTCTCGGGCTGTCTCAGCCCCCCTGCGCAGCTCCGACGACCCCTCTAAGAGCCGGGCCGAGACTAAGCGAGGGATGCGGTCAGAGAAGTCAGAGCAGAGGGAGGGACCGCCGTGGCAGGGAAGCATCTTCTCCACGCCGGACCCAGCTGGGGTGGTGCGAACCTTCCCATCTGGAGCTCGGATTTCAGGAGTTTGCGCTCTGATCCGGCAAGTAAGAGCGAAGGGGCTGCGAAGGGGCTCCGAAGGGGCCTCGAAGGGGCCTGGGCTGGGTGGAAATGCATTTTCAAGTGCCCCCCTCCATCCCCCGCCCCAAGCACTCCTACCCTTCTAATGCCTTCCCAGCCCCCGCTCGCCGGCTGCCCAGTTCTCTCCACTCTCTTTAATTCATACACTTGCACCAGCCGCCGGCCGGCTCCCCGCGCCTACCTCGGGTCTCAAGGCCGCTACTCCCAGATTCTGGTCAGGTGCGAGGGCGCTGCGGGCGGCTGCGCCCGGCAGGTACCGGCGCTATATACCGCGCCACGCCGCTCAGTGACTCAGTGAGTCTTCCGAACGCTCCTGCCCGCCGGCCTTCAAAATAAGAGTCCGCGCCCGCGCTGCCAAGCCGCGGGAGTAGACGGAAAGGAGGCGTGGCCCGGCTCTGGGAAGCAGCCCCCAGGTTAGAGGCTTCCCCGCCCCCTCCTCCTAACCTTGTTCCGCCCTTTGCATCTTTCTGGTGCAAGCCCCTTCCCAGGCCAGCCAGGTTAAGCATTGGGCATTCCCGGAACTTTCAAGAAGAATTGATAACGGGAAAGAATTTAACTTTTTTTCCTAGACCAATAGAGATGCTGGCTGCAAGTTAGGGATGATTCTCCCCCAGTTTTTTTGAAATTGTTTTCCCATTACAGACTGAAAAGAAGTATCCAGTAACTCCAACTCCAGGGCAGCGTTCAAAGGGAGAGGAGTGAAAGCTCGCCTTGGAATGAATGGAAGCAGCCCTGAAGGGATGAAGCTGCAGGGCTGGCCCTGGAGCTGGAGGTGGGGCGGGGACCAGTCCGAGGGTGCAACGTAGTTCTGTAGTATTGTATCTAGAAGCACAGATCTTCAAGGGGTATGTTACTTTTCTAGTTTATTCTTTTTATCAATGAATTACCAGATTCAGGCGCCTTTAGGGTAAGGCCCTCTGATCTATTAGTAGCAACATTTTAGGAACTCAGTCCCTATCCTGCACCCCTGTGTTCCTCTTCTGTCATAAACTGCTGGAGGCCCAGAGTCGCTTGTTTTAATCTTCTTCATGGGAATTTCTGCAGAAGGGTTTTAAAGGAGGAAATGGACTCGTTATTTTGAGAGTTAAAATTTGCCGCAGATTATAGGCCTTAGCCTTAAACCCAGATCACCGACCTTTCACCTACTGAGCTAAGGACACCCCTAACTCTGTATAACCCTCTAGTAGCTGGGTGAACACACTATATCCGTTATCTCTGGCTGTTTCTCCTGCTTGAGTGTGTGCTCCTTGGCCACAGGGACCAAATTTTTACAAACACCAAGCCATCAAACAAATAAAATAAATAAATGAATGAGCAATAATACCCGTTGATCGACACTGTTGTTGTGCCAGACCATTTCAGTAAAATAGTCACCAGGTAAGTGCCAAAAATACCAACTTGGTTTGAATAGCCAGCAGGTCATTTGCTTAAATGGTCTACCTTTATCAGTGATAGCTAACAGTAGGGTTTCCAGTTTACAGTACTCAGTCAATATTCCTCTTCTCTCTCTCTTTCACACACACACATACAAAGCAATATCTTTATTGATTTTTTAAGGTGAAAAACAATGTCTGCAAACTATTCAAGTAGTAAATGCGAAGTGAATGTCTTTCTGTAATTCCACCCCCAGAGACAAACATCGTTAACTGTCTAGCGTATAATTCTCCAGATTTTGCACGTTTATTTAAATGCAGATTTAAAGCATGAATTAGTCCATCACTTACACATGATTCTGTCCCCTCCCCTGTTTTTTAGTCCTAACAGTATCCTAACAGTCATCTTTCCAGGCATAAATACAAGGCAGTATCATCTTTCCAATCTCTAAGAATGTGTTTGGTTGAAATCTCTATTGGCCTGAGAAAAAAGCTTTTAAAAGTGAAAAACCCGGGACCAGCAGTTAGCGTAATGGCTATGTCGCTGGACTCCCACGTAGTCGACCACGGTTTGTGTCCCGGAGCTGGCGGCTTAAACTCACGCCGGAAGGGTGTGCATGCGTGCCGAAGATCCCAAGAGGAGAATGGAGGAGAAGGGATTGCGGCGTGGCCATCCCCTCTGGGGGGTGATTTCTCACTTTCTGTCTGTCTGTCTTTCTGCTGAGTGCACGTGCCTTATAGCAAAAACCTCTCAAAAAAAAAAAAAAAAAAAGTCATCACCCTCAAAAAAAAAAAAAAAAAAAAAAGTGAAAAACCCAGCACCCCTTTGCTTAACTTTGCCTTTCTTTGACTTTTTCTTTTGCTTATTCCCATGTCCAATGGTCATTAGAGCAGCAGCAATGACATCATTTGGCCTGCCACAGGATGTTCTTGAGGCTGCAAGGTAATACTGAAGAAAGAGGACTGAAATGATAGTGAGGACTACGCCCCGGCGCCGTTACTGTGGAACCCTGAAGCTTTCTTATTTCCACAGTAATGGGATTAAGCCGATGAAATTTCAAATTCTAGTTCTTAAATATTGTGATTCATGTTTTGATGTAGGAGTCCATTCCCAACAGGAACATGAAAAAAATGAAACAGAGAGGCATCAGGGACTCCCACCTCTAGTATCCAGCTCCGTTCCTGCCCCCGCAGGAGGGGGAGTGGGGTGCAGTAGACTGGGAGGGCTGATGGGGAGAAAACACATCTATTTTCTTTACCCTTGAGAGTCAGCGAAAGAAGGATGATGCATGAAATCTGCCCTCCGTGTGTCTGCCTCATTCCTCCTGCAGCAGCCCAGAGAGAAGCATTCACATGGACGAAGTTTTGAGTTTCAGAAGCCAAAACTGCAAAACGCTGAATTATTTTCATGTCCTTGACTCCAACCACGGTCAGTCGACTACATGGTAGTCCAGCGACATAGCCATTACACTAACTGCTGGTCCCACAAATGTCTATTAGGATAACTACTACCACAAATCAACATTCCCCAAACATGCTTTGCTAACTTAAAAATTAAAGCCAAAATTCACATTATTTCTTCTTGTATTTACATATAGCAGCAAAAGGATGTTAATACGTTTTTAGGCATTTTGCTTAAAATAATATTTTAATAAAAATGACCAAAACTTGGGATTTTCTTAGAAGATTCTTGGCTTCTAGTTTGACACATTTTCTTTCTTTCTTTTTTTTTTTTTTGGAGAGGTTTTTGCTATAGGGCGCATGCACTTGCCAGACAGACAGAGAGAGACAGAGAGACAGAAAGTGAGAAATCTCCCCCCAGGGAGGATGGCCACGCCACAATCCCTTCTCCTCCATTCTCCTCTCGGGATCTTGGGCACGCACACACACGCTCCTGGAGTGAGTTTAAGCCACCGGATCCAGGACTCGAACCATAGTCGACTACATGGGAGTCCAGCGACATAGCCATTACGCTAACTGCCGGTCCTCTCTTCTTGTATTTTTAAAAGGCACAAAATCTTATCTGAATAGCCCATGTCTTCTGTCATACATACAGAAGCTGTATGGCTTCTGACTACATACAGCAAATAAGAAGAAGACTAAGACATGACAGATTTTACCTGCTGTGGGTTCCACTAAATGTTATTTTTGGGAAACCATTTTCTGAAAGGAGAATGCTTAAGTTCAGTTTTTGTTCTGTTCATTTTACAAATAAATAAGCATTTGGAAGAATCTTGGACCACACTGAATTTAGACCCTGTGGTTAAGTATAACATCTCACACGAAACAAATGTGTTCCCCTATCGACAACGGCTACTTGTTTCAACAAAAATGAGAAATTTCAAGAAAAAAAATCAAAACGTGAGTATTCTAAAGAGGCAAAATCCCATGCAGTATTTGATCATGAATACTGAGTATGGGGGGGAAGAAGGAAAGGGCAAGTGGCCAAGGTCAATTCATACTTCGAACACAACAACAAATGAATGTTCTGCTGGCCAAGATAACTTTCTGGCTCTTTAGTTTGTACATAATTTTTATTAAGATCAGGGAGAAAAGATAAGGGGAAAAGAAATGAACTGTTTGTACCTGTGCAGATGTGACTAGCACCCGGGGCATATACCATGCCACGGCAGAGAAAGCATGATCACCACAAGGTCTGCAGTTGTGGAATGAAAAACAAGAGGATGGACAGTAAACAGAAGAATGGGGTGATTCGTGAGAACATGGGGAGCCTTAAACCTACCAAACAACCCCAGGGGTCTCAAGGTCAGAGCTATGAGGAGCCTCAAGAGATCATCTGGTGAAGGGGTATCCTGAGGAGGACCTGGGCTTTGGAGCCAGAATAAGGTCAATTAAAGGCTCTGAACTCACAGAGCTTTGTTTTCTCATCTGTATAGTGGAGCTAAAGGGCCAACAGGTGGTGTGATGGTTAAAGGTGCTGGACTCCCACATGGCCAACAGTGGTTCGAGTCCAGATCTGGCGGCTTGCCTTCTTACTCTCTCTCTCTGTCTCTCTTTAGTGAATGCATGTGCTCTATAGGACGTTTAAAAAAAATAAAAATTAAAAAAAATCTTTGTAATTTTTTTAAAAAGGTATTTATTTACCTGGACTGACGTTGAGAAGATACAGGGAGATACTGCTTGGGTAGCATTTAACATAGTGGTCTGTTTGCAACAGGTAGGGTTTGGGGGTTGGTTTGTAGCAGGTGGGGGTTGGCTTTCTTCCTCTTTTAACACATATATCTATATCCTTAGAGTATCTTAGGGATTTTTTTTTCTTCAAAACTCATTAGGTAGGAATAGAGTAAAACATAATAATTTGAACTTTAGGTCATGCTGGCACAATAGATAGAGGTTACTTGAGTGGACTCCTACATGGCCAATCACGTTACATGAATTCTCCCATCTAATCAAAGCCCATGAAGAATTGTCATAGTTATCATCATTCTGGGCAGGGAGCTCAGAGAGGTTAGGTAACTTACCTAAGGATGCGCAGCTTGCAAATGGAGGAGAAGTAACATAAATCATTAACTCCAAAGCCTGCCCAAACTCCAGGGAATATAAATTTTTTGTGAAAAGTACATACTTATGGAAAGTCTGTAACTATCCCAGGACACTAAGATCTCCATTAGTAAATCAGTCATGTATTATTGCAAAATTTTATTGTGCACGGTGTTCTGAAATAGTTAAGGCAGCTTCTAAACATGCCGGGCTTAATTCACGGGAGTATCTGACTCAGTATTGAGTACTCTTTTCCAAATCAAATGAGTTATGCCGGCTTTGATGGAACCATCACAGATTCCACGTGGATTATGAAGAGACAGTCAAAAGCAGGACTTTGCCTTTTTATGTAACTCTCCTGAGTGAATGGTGAAATACTACAATCAGT